GTCTGGGGTGATGAAATAATTGGTCAGCACTCAGTATGTTAGACATTTTGTAGCCTCGACGTCTAGCAAATTATGCGACTATTGGCTTGCTGCGCGGAAGTTCGGGGAAGGGTGAGGCGCGCGCGCTTAGCCGATGAGGGATATTCCCGCACAACTGCTGGCCCGCCGACACCCGCACCCGCCGCGCACGGCGGCCCGCACGTCGGTCTCGCACTGTTTGTCGACAGGTCGGTCCGCACTGTGTTCGTCATCGCGTCCGCACTTTGGCGACGTTGGTCCGCACGTGTTTTGCACGACGAGTCGGGCGAGCGTCGGTCCACACTGCTAGCGCCGGCGTCTAGGGACTCAATTTTCAGTTCCACTTTGGTATGTAGTCGTTCCATCCAGGGAACTAGAAGTTAGTTTTTCGACGTCGTACTTTTTGTGTGCCTCATACAACCGGTACTATTATTCAGTATTTCTACTCGTGGAGACCTTACTCAGCTATTGTTGAGAGTTGTTACATGGCGTTTTCCCGACGCTCTGTATGGTGTCAGCAAAACAGTGCGGCCCGAGCGGGGGCGGGTGTCGGGCAGCAGTGCGGGAATTCCCCTCTCGCCCACCATAGGCCGTACGCTCGCAGGCGGTCCTGGTCGCCGACTCGGACGCCGCGGGTAGTAGTCGGTGAGCATAGTCTCATGCGAGCGGCTAACTTTTGTATGTTGAATGGTGGCGAAAGGGGGGTGCTGGAGCACCCAAAGCACCCCCCTGGATACGCCACTATCTCTACAAATGAGGCCTTCTTCCCCGGAGAACGTATAGCTAAGACTCCACCGAACTAACAGATAAGCGAGGGTCCCGGTTTCAGTTGTTGGCACAGAAGTTGAGGACGGTTCCAGCTCTCCCCTGGACACGGATGGCCGCTGCCTGGGGCGTGGTAATGATTCGCTCCGCTTTCCACGTCCCAGCTTCGCGAATGCCGTCCAACTCGGCTCTCAGCACGTCTCTGAGTCCAGCAGCCGCCGCTTCAGACGATACTCGACGAGTAGAGGGGAACCCACATCCCTTGTGGTGGAGAAAGACTCCTCTTACACCACCGAAGGACGTCATCTTTCCGATTTTCACCCGCCCCCCGTAAATTAGCCCGTAAACAGTAACCCATGGTAACAGGTTACGCAGCATTGCGCATTGCGCAATAATAATTGGGCTGGCCCAAAAAAACTTGCGGTCGCGTCGACCGAGCAAGCGAGGAAGCGAGAGGATCATGCCGAAAACGAGAGCTAAGAAGAAGGAGAGGAACCAGTATCCTCTGGGTGAGTTCCGTGACTAATAGAAGCGGTAGGCATAGGGAGGCTTTACCTCTGCTCGCAGATTCTCTGACTCCGGACGAGGGAGACAGCGAGAGCGTGTGCAGCTCCCAGGACGGGAGTGTTCTGAGTGAGGACGGTGCCGGGTGGAGAGGGGAGGAGCCCGTGAGTACCGAGGAGGACCTGCAGTTCGTGTTGTCCGAACACGTGGACCATCTCAGCGACAAGAGGTGAGGAGAGAGAAAGTGGTGATGCGGAAATGAGATAATGAATGGCTTCTGTCGTCTTCCTCAGCTCTAGAACGAGGCAGACGGCTCTCACGAGCCTCACCAAGATACTGCGACAGAAGATAGTCGTGGATCACTTAGTGGACAGGTTGAGTGATCCCCTTCTATCAGAGACACTAATTATTAATCTCTCTCTCCCTGTAGCAAGGAGACATTGGTGGATATTCTAGTTCGTGGGATAAAGAAACGTGAGTTGAACCACCTCTAACACACCAGGAGCTTCATGACAGTTGATTGCCTGCAGTGAGAGGAGGAGAGAGGTGTGAAATGACTCAGCTGATGTCTCTACTGGCAGTTCAGCTTGGTGAGGAGCACCCTGACCTCCTCCTGGCAGTGAAGCAACCTCTGTTGCAGCTGGGACAAGACCCTACTGCCAGCCCCGCCGAGAGAGTCGCTGTGAGTCACTGGAGGAAGAGAGAGAGAGAGGTTTTCATCTGTGGTGTCTGTTTTATTACAGAGTCTGTCAGCTCTCGGACTGTGTGCCTTCATCCAGGGATCAGATTATCTGGTAAAAGTCTCGTGTAACGGGAAATGCAAATGTGAATTTTACACATAAAATTCAGAACCTCGACAGTACTCTATCATTTCTCTCTTACATTGCCTTGTCCCCTGCTCTCATCCAGGAGACGGGAAGGGGACTATATAAATGGTTAAATTATAGTACGAGAAATTGGTGGGCAGAAACGGGTGAACGATGAAAGATACAAAAGTGAGGGAAGCTCTGACCACGTCGAAGCAGTGGTCTCTCCGGCTCTATATTCACACTCCCTCCGCGTTCCCTCCCCTTCACACCAGGTACAGTTGAATTGATGATGTGAAACTCAGAAAAGATTGAAGGGAACGATCTCTAAAAAAAAAGAGGATGAGATATTAGGAAATATAGGGGGACAGCTATACTGCCAGGAGAGGAAAAATGAGGGTAGATACAAGCGAAAAAGTGAGAACAATCTAGGGGGAAATAGGACAGTTCCGTTTAGGTCTCGTCATAGGCTATACGGCCCAGACAAAAGTAAATAAATAAATGGAGAATGGGAAATACAGAAAGAGCGAAAAGTCTAAGTTAGTACCTGAATGGACTCTCGGGGCACAGGGGGGGGGGGACATGAGTGTCAGGTTGGCAGTCGGCCAGGCAATCGCACTTCTCTTCGAAATTGTTTGTAAGAGAAAGTAGGCGGTGGGGGGATGGTTCAGGTGGGGGTGTGGTTTGGTTGTTGTTTGTGTTGGGGGTTGCGTTTTAGTTTCACCTCAAATTTTCATATATAGCCTGGTTTTTTTGGAGGCTTGGAACCATCTCAATTTTTTGTGTACAAGAACATCACACTCTGTTAATAGGGTAGCAACCATTCAATGCTTTTAAATATTAACCCTGGCTGGAATAGACCCTTCCTTGTTGCATGTAGTTTCAGTGTAAATTCCCAGGAGTACAGAGTACACAGGAAATGTTTGCGACATGACCATGAATTACCCTACATTTCCATACACACACAATAGCCCTCTTGGGGGTATTCTATGTAAGTTTGGGAGAGGGTTTGTGGTGGGAGGAGCCAGCCACGACCTCATCCAGCAGCTGGCCACAGAGAGTGACAGGTACACAGGTCGCAGGGAGCGCAACACCCAACGCAGCTGCTTCAGAGACATCCTCTCCACTCTGGAGGAGGGGAGTGTTCCTGACAGGGAGGTTCGGTTCGGGGTGGAGCTGCTGGCACTGGACTCATGGGCCAAGTGAGTCCCTCCACTGACAGTGGTGTATGGAGGTGATAGTTGTATCTCTGGACAGACTCATACAGTATGGAGTGTTGAAGGAACTCCTGGGGACTGGACTCAAGGCCCATATCCAGGTCTGTGGTATAATTAGAACCTCTATAATCCAGGGACAGAATAAAGTGCCCCTATTAGTGAAGGAACTGTTCTTGGAGGAAGAAATTGTCTTTATTACACGGGTAAAGGGTTCCATTGTACAATTGTACACTGTGTCTGCACAGGGAAATGATCTTCTGAGGGAGATCTTCGAGTTGGGGCCTGCCCCTGCTGTTACAGTTGACACAAAGGCCACCAGACTGGAGAAGGTCAGTCACAGTATACATGTACTATATAGCACTATAAGTAGATCCCAGTCTATTTGACTTAGAGCACAGTCCTTTAGTCCATTAGGCCACTCACTCACCAGTACATCAGAACACGTAAAAGCAAGAGTAGGGATGAAACCTATGATCCACTCTAGTTTCAGAGATCCCTTAGGTCTATATATATACTGTTTGTAGTGACGTACAGTGTCAAAAGCAGACACAGTTCTACCGTGGTCTAATACTCTCCCTCCTCCCATTCAGAAATGCTACAATGCTGCAGCGGCAAAGCACAGAAGCCAGTCTCGAGCCAAACAGAGAGACAAACGTGCCATCTTATAGCTTCATTATTACCACTCAATTTATATTATATATCCTGGTTGAGTTGAAAACAGTAATTTTTTTATGCATCAAAATTAATAAGGTTATGTCCAGTCAATCACAGCAAAACACTCGGTTTTAAATTTGAAAAAGATATGGCGACTACATTATCTAAGAGGTGAGGCAGCGATGTTCTGCGTTAGCTAAGAGCTGGTAGATCGAAGAGCCTGTATCTGGGAAGTAGTGAGGGCCAGAGACCCATACATGTCACTGACGTCCTCTGAGAACATGCGGCGGAATGTCGGTCTCCTCAGTTTGAAGGTGGGAGTCAGCAGACCGTTCTCCACCGTGAACTGCTCGGACTGCAATCGGATCACCTTCGCCTGAATAACGACATGCACGGTGACTTATATACACGCAATTACATCACTGTGATGTAACTATACCTGTTCGAAAGACTTGAGCCCTGCCTCTTGAGCACACCTCTGCATGTCTTTCTTGACTGCCTCAAAAACTTCCTTCAGTCGTATATATAATATTATAGGTGAAGGCCAGTTTCATTAGCACACACCACATTACACACATTCCACACGGCAATTGGCACAACCAAACCCAACAAAATCCCTACACTTCAAAAATCGTCAAATTTGACCAATCAGTGACCTTACTGACAAAGACTCTGTCTCACATATCAACAGTACTAGTGGCCACTCCAGACACCAGTGGCCATGCTCACCTCTTTCTGACAGAGATCTGCAAACTCTCCGTCAATGTTGTTCTTCCTGGCCCAGGAGGTAAGCTCCTCCTCGTCAGGGACAACGATCGCCACGCAGGCATCCTGCAGACTGTCGCCATGGAGATAGGCCTGGGCGACGAGCGGACTTCGACAGTAGACATTTTCAATTTTCTCTGGAGCCACGTATTCTCCCTGCATCGTGGGAGGAGCGGTAACATGAGAACTGAACAAGAACACCATAATTTGGTCAATAGACCACAAGGGTTGGATGAAGCTCGTGTCTCAACAACAAGGTCTCAAGGCAAAACCCGGACCTGCGACAGTTTGAAGATGTGTTTCTTTCTGTCGGTGACACTCAGAGTCCCGTTCTCATTCCACCTCCCAATGTCCCCGGAATGGAGCCAGCCGTCCTTGTCCAGGGCCTCCCTTGTCTGCTCCTCGTTCCTGTAGTAACCCAGGAACACACTGGGTCCCTTGACACAGATCTGGGGACGGGAGAGAGAGAGTGTGTGGGAAAAAGGGGGAAAATGCAGTACTTATCAGTTGCGCTCTAAGTGAGTCAAGAGACACTAGTATTAAGTTATTTCGTATACTCATGTAACGTTTGTCCATGTTTTACTGAAGTGTGGAACGTCAATTTCCCCCCATCCCACCAATTGCCCACCTCTCCATCTCCCCTGGAGGCAAAGTAGTTCATGTCGGGAACGTCGACTAGTTTGATGAGGGCGGAGACGAGAGGAGGTCCCACGTGGCCGGCCGTCACATCGTGGGGCAGGGTGGCAGTACAGCCTGAGGTGCACTCCGTCTGCCCATAGCCCTCAAATACCTGCACACACACACACACACACACGATGCACCACTTCAAAGGAGTGAGATCAATATCACTACTGTAAGAAAGTGTGCAATCACAGAAGAATAGAGGAGGGTACGGCATAAAAAATTTTTGCATGTCAAAATTCCCAAAATATGTATGGTTAAGACATCTCCTTAGAAGATTTCCCCCTCCACAGTGAGAGGAGGTATGGTATGCAAACAGGTCACCTGACAACCAAATGCAGCTCTAAGGAAGTCCAGCACATGAGCTGCGATGGGGGCGGAGCCTGTGAAGATCATCCGGACACGCCCACCCAGAAGACTACGGACCTTCTTCAAGACCACCTTGTCCCACATTGAGTTCTGTCGGACCAGCCCACTGAGATCAGTCTGCATCAGCCCGTGTCTATCACCATGACAACAGAGACGGCTAACCTCCTGAGATCTTTGGTCTTGGACTTCATTGCCTTGTTGAAGAGTGTCTTCTTCACGATTGAGGCCTGGGCCGTGGCTGCTGTTATCTGCAGAGACAAACAACACAATACAGCCAGTGACAAAACCTCTGAAACAGGACCCTCTGAACAAAGGACACTTGGTTCTGCAGCACAGTAATTAATATTGTGTGCCTCTGTTTCACTGAGAGTGAAAATAGTGTTCAGACATTTCAGTTGGTGAACCATTCTGAGCGAGCTTGACAACAAAGCTCATTAATGTCTTCCACAACAAATGCTCCCTCTCCTCTCTCTCCTCTCTCTCTCTCTATTCTCTCTCTCTCTCCTCTCTCTGACACCTTGTCATAGATCCTGTTGAGGAGTCTGGGGACAGACACAAAGATGGTCGGTCTCACCACCTGAATGTCGTTCACCAGTCGCTTTATGTCTCCTCCAAAGAACGCAATCCTCCCTCCACACATGAACATAATACACTGCAAACATTACATCATGGTGATGTAATAGGATTAATATCAACAACCTACATGGACGACCCTCTCCAGCATGTGTGCGAGGGGGAGGTAAGATATGTGTACGTCATCTGGGGAAGGTGCCCCCTGCGATTCCTGGTGGTATAGATGATGGAAGTTGAATGGAATTGAACAAGTACATACTGTTTACTCACCACGACTTTGTAAAGACCAGTCATGTTGGCAATGATGTTTCCATGTGACAGCATCACACCTTTCGGCCTGCCTTTAGAACAAGAGATACAAATTAATACGATGCCTCATTGATACACGCAAACACTCGTGTGGATACGTTCATCCTTTCCCCAACTTCCTGTCCCACTCATCCACCTTTCTCTATCTCCTTTCTCCTTACGACCCCCTATATACACACCTACAATGTATATCACCCGACACTTCCGTCTTTCCCTCCTATATATATGTATACACTCTCACATACAGCATATGGTAGAGCCTTTAGGTTGTGGCAAGACCCCATTACATTCTAGCTCTATACTACATGGACAAGAGTAGTTCCAAGTGAGGCAGAGGGCATTGTTACGTACCAGTGGTTCCACTGGTGTAGCAGATGGTAGCCAGTGTGTCTGGAGTTGGGGGCTGAAGACATGAACATACATAGAGTAAAGGCACCACAAATGGCAGAGTCACAATTCAACAAGCCAGCCATGCAGTTTCACATAGGGTTGGGTAGAGAGGGGAGAGTACGATGGTCTTCACTTACTACTAGCTCCACTTTGTTGTCCGCTCCAAACACCTGTCAACAGCAGAAACAGAAGATGAGGATTGAAGGAGTTTCAAATAATTATATATATCAGGGAAATGTGTAATACTAGCAGCTGCATTATTTCCCATGGGTTGTGAAAGTTTCTGCCCCAAAAGTTTCCAACTAATGTATACACCTCGACATCCTTCATGGAGAATAGCTTGAGGCCGCTTCTTTCTATCTTCTCCCTCTCCTCCTCCCCCGCAGGCTCTGCCCCTATCGTAACGACCGTCTTGAGTGAGGGGCACTGCTCCGCGTGCTGCGAGAGCGTGGCCAGTTTGGAGGAGTTGCAGAGAACAACAGACATCTCCGCTGCACACACACACACACACACACACACACACATGTACTAATTATAGTGAGAAGACGATTTTGGCAACTGTCAATGTTCCCTAAAAGTAAAGTCACTACAATAATGTATAATACCACGACCTAATGTGAAACAATGGATACTGGGTACAACACCGAGGGATTATGGGAGGATTTTATCCTCAACTGATGTAATGTCAGTATATCCCAATATCTGACATGGCCTGACACTTGTGTGACAGTACATCTTGTGTCATACCTTGGTTGAATGACAGTATTGCCAGTACAATGGACAGGTTGAATATAGCATCAAACTTTGGTCGAGTAAGTGTGACACTAGGATGCAATATTACTGGACCAGACCTTGGTTTAGTATGTGGACCAGGGCCTCAGCTCCCAGGGTGTCATACAGTGGTACCAGAACTCGGGAATAGTAGTTGCACGACTGTTCAGTCACCACCCACTGGGGGAGAGAGGAGACACAGCCACTGTTGTCAGTCACACTGTGGCAGTTTGAGGCTCACGTCGATTGAGTTGGGAGCAAACACGCCGACATTGGTCTCTGGACCAGTGGGGATCCCAAGGTGACTCAGTCCTGCTCCTAGACACACTGCCCGTGCCTCAATCTGAGAGAAAGAGAGGTGGGAGAGGAGGAGAGGTAGAAATAATCGGTAGCCATTATGATCGATATTTTTATCACCCACAAAATTTGCTAAAACACTTGTGGACGGTTCCCAAAATATCAGATCTAAATTTTTCCTGCTATTCTGGTAGAGTTGACTCACTTCTCCGTAGCTAGTCCACTGGTAATCAGCCTCGGGGCTTCCCCTCCATCCAAGACAAGGCCCATCTCCTGTGTGAGGAGAGAGGTAATGAGAGAAGGGAGGAGGGGAGCCAACCTGAGGCCTTCTTCCCCTGCTGGAAGGTGTGGTAAAGGGTCCGCACGTCCCCCAGCAGGTAGGATTGTAGCTGGCCGTCTCTCACGAGACGAGAACACCGCACCCCAGGCTGGTCCTGCAGGAGCGAGATCGAGCGAACTTCGGAATCACTCGTCTGTTGCTGCGGAGTACCTCTCCCAACTACGAATACACTCTGACCTAAGTCGGTACGTCTAGCTAGCTGTTTCCCACCCTAGAGCATTCGGAACGAGCTAACGAAGGTCGTGTGCACGGACTACATTAGCATAAAAGCCGAGACCCACTAACCGGGATCTCCAGACTCTGGCTGTCCAGCGGGATGTCTTGCATGCTAGAGATCTGCTGACCCTCTGCCATGGCGGCCCAAGACGTCACCGATCCTTCTAATTGCACGTTTCGAACTTTATATACACGCACGCTCTGAATTTTGATGAGTACAAATTGGGAATGGAGGCGAATGCAAAAATGATTTTAATTTCTCTCCATACAGCATAGCCAGCCGGTTAGGCAGACTGGAAATATAGCTCTGTACAATTGACCCACTTCAAGGGGGAAAAGTAACATTCAATATTGAGGCTAGTGGTAGGAGCGCTGAAGTGCCTGCGAGTCCTGCGGCCGGTGAGCCAGGGAGAGCCGGGGAGTCCCAGAAGAGAGGGTCCCTGTCATTATTGCCTGCGGCGCAGTCGGGGTGGGCAGCAGAGGCTTTCTTCCCTGCTAATCCCAACCCACCCGTCGCCAACGAGAGAGCCTGGGGAGACGGAGTAGGGGTGGGTGTGGTCAGCGAGGCTGTTGGTATGGCAACTGGAGGCACAAAAGTCACACCCCCTGCAGTGTAAGGGTTGCGGATTAGTCCGGCGTGTCCTTGTGGATGAAACATGGGCAGCAACTTTGCCTGGCCCACCAGGGAACGGCCTTGGGTGGAGTCAGAGAGAGAAGGCGCGACTTTCTGATGGTGGGTGGGGTCATGGAGAAGAAGGTCTCTCCTCCTCGGTTCTGGGGATGGTGGAACTGGTAGAACGAGACCGGTCTGGTCGGGACCACAGACGCCGGTCTTGGCGCCTGACTGGAGAGGTGGTGTAGTGGTTTTGCCAGTGGTGGTTGGATGCGAAGTGTGGCCAGTTGAGGATGAGGAGGAGGGAGAGAGAGAGGGAGTGTGGGCCGAAGAGGAGCGTGTATTGTTGTGATTGGCCTCAGAGAGAGTGGCTGGGCAGGCAGCACCGCTCGCTGTATGAGGACAGGCCTGGGAAGCTGAGGGGGTTCAAATCCGGGGGGCCTGGAGACGAGATATGGGGGAATATCCACCAGTGGGGGGCTGATTTTCTTCACAGATTGAACGTGGGGGTTAGCACTCTGTTCTGTCCTTCCTCCAGGGATGAAGGGAGACGCGGTGACACTCAGCCCAGCTCTGCTCTCCCCGTTTACTTCCTTCTTCTCCCCCACCTCGCCAATTGACACCTGGGTTGAGCCGTTGCCACGGTAATTGGCGGGAGAATGAACCACCTGTTTACTTGTATTCAGAGGCAGACCGGGCGGTGAAATGTTTGCTGGGCGCTCAGTCTTCCTCACTTCCTGTGTTGTCGGAGCTCGTGGGAAGGAGAAGTGAGTTTGCCGAGGAGGGAGAGGGGGGGTGGAAAGTGTGCTGGAGGTGAGGTGACTGGAGCACCAACAAGCTTTGTGGGTGTGGCATCTGGTGCGGAGAAGCCACAGCAAGTCCCTGATGAGTGGGTGTGGTCATGAGGGGACGAGGACCAAGGAGTTGAAGTGGCTGAGGTGGTGTGGGGAGTCGGGTGACGGAGGCAGACTCATAGAACCCCTGCTGTCTGTGTTGAAGTACCCTCTGTGAGTGCTGTTGGTGGAGCAGCTGGGGCTGCTGTTTCTGAGCCATCAGAATCAGCTGCTGCAGTTGCTGCTGTTTCAACTGGAGCTGTGCCTGGAGCTGCAGGTGCTGAGGTTTGCTCTGCACGCTGCTCAGGAAGTCCGGTCTCGAAGCCTGCAGTCTTGGCTGCTCGACCAGGCGAGGTTGCCGAGTGCGTGCCTGAGCCTGTAGCGGGCGGAGCCACTGTTTCTGAGGCAGCACAGGCTGGTCTAGAGAGGAGATGGGAGCTGAAGGCTGCATTTGAAGCAGTGGTTCAACCTGCCTAGTTGCCATGGGTTCTTGAGCAGGCTGGGGAGGTAAAGGATTTGGAAGACGTTCAGGAGTCCCACGCTGTACCTGTGACTGGGCCTTACCAGGGGGAGGAGCCTGTTGTAAACCACACCCACTAATTTCCTCACTCTTTGCAGCTGTAGTTGCAGGCATGTCTTCTTTCCTCTCTCCACTCACTTCCTTTCCCCCTCCCTCTTCCGCCACCCAATCATTTAGGGGCTGTGAATCCTCCCCCACACTTTCCTTTGAAGTAACGACTGGTGCTACCTCTCCTTCAGGGGAAGCCCCCAAGGTAATGATGACATCATCACCATCATGAGCCGGTACCTTCTCCTCAGTGGAGTCAGGAGAAGCTGTGTTTCCAGTAGAGGGGAGAGGAGAAGACAGTTGTGATGGTGAGCCGTCCTCCCTGCAAGCTGGGCTGTCCAGAGAGTTGGGAGTGGGAACAGACACAGGGGTCGGGGATGGAACCTGGACCTGAACCGGAGTGGGCGTTCGCGTGTCGAGCATCAGCGACGTATCGGAGGGTGTGTGGCTTCGCGACGTGCTCCAACTGGAATCGGCCAGCGACGTCTTCAGTGCCTGTGCGTAGGAAAACGTCTTGGCCGACGCCGCGCCTGTTTTGGACGATATCTCTGCACCCCCTGCTTCCCCCTTCCCTGCGAGGGCACTAGAGATTCCCTCCTCTTCCTCCCACACTCCTCCCCCACCACTGCCTGCTCTGGAGCTCTGGTGTTGCTGCGGAGAGCTGCCGTGAACGTCCCTCATCGTACCCTCTGCCTCCACACCAGCCACCTCCTGGGTCATGTGATCTGTCACATGACAATCAGAGGCCACGCCCACCGCAGCTACCTGCAACAACACCAGAGAGCAGGCTGAGGGAGCACATCAAGTCTAACCTGGTATCACGACGGTAACAAGAGGTGCACATTACAACAGTATATTATACTCAAACACATTTTCCTCCTCCTCCTCACATTCTCGTGTTTCGAAACACCGACGATTTTGACAGTAAACGGCTCAAAATATTCTGTGCTATGGGACTCGGTGCATATATACAAGTGAGGCTAGTACACAACACTTAGAGCGAAAACAAAACCATGTGTGCAAAGAAACAGTCAGTGACTTCAAATTTATCATACAGAGAGTGCGACTGTGCAGCGATGCTAGTAGGTGTGTGTGGTTTAGGAGCGGTTCAGTCATGATGCTACCTTGATGGACGAGGAGGGGACCTTAGCTGGCCCAGAGGAGCCACCAGCTGATCGAGGATTCTTCGACTTGCTGGGTGGCTGTGTGGTGGAAGGTCGAGCAGCCTTGCCTCCCTCACCCCTCACTGGGGGTGGCACGTAGAACCGGCCAGATGAGGACTGAGGAGGAGAGAGAGAAAGAGATAATCATGTGTCGTCAAATGTGGGCGTACAGTAAATAGGCAAATTTTTTTGCAGCTGGGCACTGCCAACAACAATTTTGATAGAAAGACTCATCCCAACAGTTGGAGCCATTTCCTCATTAATTTCTCTTTCAGTTTGGTGTTATCTGAAAGGAATGTTCAGTTTACCTTATCTTTAGCGGTGTGTTCTCTGGACTGCTGGTTCTCTCTCTTCCCCTCACCAGGTACATCCTGCTGCACCTTCTGCTCCCCACTCCCTCCCCTCCTCCCCCTCTCCACCCTCCGCCCCCTCCCCCCACCTCTTCCCCTCCCCGACCCACCAGAGCCACCCCCCCGACTGGACTGCAGTCTTGGAGGAAGCTCTGCTCCCGAGCGACTTCCTCCATGAGATGACCCCAACCCCTCACCCCCTGTAGCAGACGAGGAGCTCTCACGGCTTGCCTCCCGAGTGGACAATGGTGGCTGGACAACAACGTGCGACTTTCTCTGTGGTTCCTTCTTGAGAAGAGGAGCAGAGTCCTTCCCCTCAGAGGTCGGTCCGCTGAGGACCGTGGCTTCGCTAGTGAGGTGTTCCTTGGACAGTTTCATGTTTACTGCAGCGTTCAGCATGCGTCCTCCGCCGGCGTACTGCCCGGGAGTTAGGAGAGACGAGATGGAGTAATCGGGGAACAAAGAGTAGCCGGCCGACGATGGCAGGAGTTCAGAGTGTCCACAGAGGGCTGTGGAGATGTTCCTGGCCTGCAGGGAGTCTCCGATCACACCGACACTATAACTGGCAGCCACCCAACCACCTGCCGGCTCCTTTAGCTCAGCTCCAGGAGCCGACGTGGACGGTCTAATGACGGTGCCCCAATCACTGGTGGGGGCAGGGGAGGAGGTGCTCCATATGTTACTCTGGTCCTCTCCTTTACTGCTCCACGCCATCGACGGCTTCAGAGGCAGAGTTGTCTGCTCTGATGATTTCGCAGCTGCTGGTTTTCTGTTTTTTCTCTGGTCATCTCTGAAATCTGTGGCCAGCGACTGCTTCAATTGTTCCTCTCGCTCCTTCTTCACCTTCTCCTTCTGAGCTTTCTTCGACGTGACCTCCACGAAATCCACTGAACTCTCGGTCTCGTCCGGCACCCCCCTAATCTCGTCCACGATGGCAATGGTGGAGGAGTGGAGGTCGTACTTGGCAAACTCCTGCTGTTTGTGCACATCGGCTGGTTTCTCAGACGAAGCCTCATCAGAAGCAGCTGTGAGACTGGGTTCTGGCTTAGGAACACGATTGTCGGCATTGCGATCTTGTCTGTTGGCACCAGGACGTCCACTCTGTCTCTCTCTCGCAGGCTGCTCCCTGCCAGTTCTTCCTCTGCCCCTCCCCTTCCCTCGGGCGGAGTTCCTCTGCTGATCCTGAGAGTCCTGTCTTTCCTGATTCCTTCGCTGACCTCTTCCGCGACCTTTTGGGGGATCTCGCGGTGCGGAAACCTCGCCCACCTCTTTCTTTGTGTCTCCCGTCTTACTCTCGTCCAATTGCTCCCAGTCGGAGTCACTGTCAATGTCTTCTAGTGACCCATAACCAACTGTCAAATTCACTATCTTTCTCTCCTCTTGCACAGGGCTGGGTTTGTTGGTTTGCCTCTCTCTCCCAAAATCCTTCCCTTTTCTTCTCTGCTCTTCTCTCCCACCTCTTTGCTCATCCGCTGCCATTCGGCCGGAGTCCTTGTTCCTTCGCTGAGGAACCTCACCACTGTCTGTCCGAGAAAACTCCGATCTTCGTCCCTGATTCCTTCGTTTTTCCCTACCTCGCCCTCCACTCTCTCCTCTCCTCCCTCCCTCCCCTTCCTGCTGAGCTGGCTTTTTCTCCTCTGACGAAGGTCCAGGTTTCCGTTCGCGACTACTTCTCCCTCTCCCTCCTCTCCCCCTCTCTTCCTTCCCCTTCCCCTGCTCGGCCTCCCCCGCGGTACCAGCCACTGTCTGTGATGACGTTTGTTGTATCGACTCCCGACGTTCCTGTTGACCATCTCTGGCTCCTCGCTCGCCCCCCCGCCCCCTCTGCGAGGCTCGCCGGCCTCCTCTGCCAGCGTCCCCTCCCCCCTTCCTCCTCTCCCCCTGTCTCCTGCGGCCATCAACTGAGTCTGGACCTCTCCTCCCAGGATTGGATACCTCTGGTCTACCAGTCAGCGGAGGGACTTGTCTGCCGAGCAGTAACGGGTCTTGGCGAAGAGGAAGTGGGGGGTCATCAAGTAAAGGTCTCCTAACTGATTGCGGAAGTAATTGAGTGGGCGGGGCCAAAGGAGCTTGAGTGGGCAGGGCCAGAGGAGCCTTAGAAGGCAGAGCCAGTGGCAATTGGATGAGAGGGGAAGTCTCTGTCATTTTTACCATCACCGACTTATTGATGACAGACTGCGGAACACTGGCTGGTACCAGGGAAACCGTAGTCGTGGTAGCGGTTGTCGTGGGAACCACAGTTCTGGCAGGAGCCGTGGATACGGAAGTCCTGCCAGCAGTAACATTACTAGATGGAGCAGTGGCAGCCTCGCCACCCGCCTTTCCACTAGGTCTCGCCTTCACATCTCTTCCTTCTCTCCGCTGAGGAACCCCATCTTCTCTGGGATGCGTCTTGTCCTCTTTGAAATTCATTCGGTCTTCTTTCTGGGAGGGGGTTCCCCCCAGTTTCAACCTCGTGCTGGTCTTTCCCGCACCTTGAGGACCATGGACCAGTGGTTCCTGTGTGGAGGCAGAGTGAACTGGCCTTCTCTGAGAACTGTGAAAGTCAGACGTGTTTTTCTGGGGTTCTCTGGGAGGCAATTCTTTAGAAGGAACTCGATCTTCTTTGGACGGCAGTCTGTGTGTGCGAGAGCTGCGTGGTTCCCCTCGGGGGGTCCTCTCTCCCCTTGTCCTCCGGTGGTGGGGACTGTCTTCTCCATCGTCTCTCTGCCACCTACTGAACTCTGACTCACTCCCGGTTCGAGACTTGCTCCCCCCCTCGTCCGCCTCGCTCCCTCGGCTGCGACGCTCTGTCCTGTTCCTCTCTCTCCTCCCTCTCCCCTCCTGCCTCCCTCCCTCACCAACAACATGTCTTCCCTGCTGCTCTCTCTGAGACTGCGCTGGGGCCTTGGAACTATCTTTCAGTTTCGGTTCATTTGGAGGAACGCTGCGTTCGCGTCGTCCACCCGGCTGTCCGGAGAGGTCCAGTTTGTCCCTTTGATTCTTCAGAGGCTCCGCCCACTTCAAATTCTCCTCCTCCTCGGAGTAGTTGTCTCGTCCCCTGCGTCCCTTGTCTCCAGAGAATGTTCTCTTGAAGGAGACCTTCTCTTTCCCAGCGGAGTCCGGGGTGGTGGCAGGTGGATTGGTCTCACTGGGAGTGGTGGCAGGAGAGGGACCGCCCCTCTCTCTCCCTGCTCGGGCGTCGTGCTGGTACTTGCGGAACTTTGCCTCACTTCTCTTCCCCTCAGGCTCATACAGAGTTTTAACTACCGAGCCAACTGGACGTTCGTTTGTCTTCCACGCCGTCGGTCGCGACTTTGCCACGTTTCCGGTAGCATCAGAAGACTCGTGGTCCCCAGAAATCTTCCTGGCCTGAGATTTCGAGTCATTTGTCCGATCGCCAGTCCTCCCAGATTCCTCCAAGCCCTCGTTTGTGTCGGACTTTGACCCATCGCTCATCTTCCTCAGCATTATCTTCTTGGGCTGAGCTCTCATGACAGCCACCGGCGGAGAATGTTCTTTCTGCTCCTCTTCCTCTCCTCCCTCCTTGGAGTGGGTGACTGGAGGAGAGACAGCGTCACCACCGGCAGCCGGTTCTGAGGACGCACTGCTCCTCTTGTTCCCACCACCAGTCGTCTGCGATTTCTCCTCTGTTCCGGCGGACTCTCTCCAGTCCCTCTCCTTCACCAGAAGTTTCGGTCGCACCTCCTTCTCTTCGTTCCACTTCCGTTTGGACCCGACTTGCTCCGGGCCGTGGTCAAATGGATGGAAGTCGTGTCTCGTCCCCACCTCCTCCCTCTCTCTGTCTCGCTCTGAACGCCTGCGGTTCCCGGCACGACCTCCAAAGCTGTGACCACGGGGAGGAGGGTGGAAGCCATACGGGGGGATTCCGTGAGGAGGGAACATGGGGTAGCGGTTGTAGGGGTCACCGTAGTAGGCAGGGAACGGTGGCGGGTACATTGGATATGGGTGTGGCCTCGACTTTCTTTCAGAGGGGGAGTCGGGTCTCTGAGATTGCGGGGGGCGAGGTGGGTCCCTCCAATCTCCCTGGGAGGGGTCAGGGGGAGGTTCACGGACGGAGGAAGAACTCGGAGGAGGGGAGTGTTTCTTGTCTGGTGGTTGACCAGTGTCCACTGCAGAACTCTCAACTGGCTGTGTGGAGATGAGCATTTCAAACATCTTTTCCTCGCAGAAACAGAAACAAACCTTACGCACACACCCTACAATAGACTGTACTACTATGAAATTCTTCCCTGGACTCACCTTTGACACAGTCTTGACAGAATCTGTCTCTGTCTTTTTCTCTTTCCTCTCTTTCTTGGGAGATTCCTCCTCGTCAGAATCAGAGAACACAACCTCCTACAGTGAGTCCCTCATTACACACCACACCAGTCAGTGTGCCACCCACCTTGCTATAGTCCACCTCATCGTGATGACCTGCCCACCCTCCCTCTTCCTCGTCCAGTATCTCCACAGTGTGGAGATCCTCTTGTTTAGCGTTGCGAGGGCGAGCCGCCCCCTCCTCGCCTCTGGCAGGCGGCATCTTGTATGGATCACTGCTTGGGGCAGTGAAATAGGGGAGAAGTGGGAGTAGGGACAGTGAAATGGGAGCAAGATAGGCAAGATAGAGGTTAGATAGTAGTAAGGATCAAAATAGAGGCGAAACAGTGAACACTGAGAAATAGAAGTGAGATAGTGGTTGGGACAGTGAAACTGGCCAACAGCAAAGTATGTGTTGTAAGTGGGTGGTTCAGAAAGAGAGACTTACACTTCGAAGGGATTTTGTTGGGGGTAAGGTGGAAAGGGAGGTCGACCGTATCCCATCTGATGAGGTGGAGGAGGGTACCCCTTGCCCCCTGTCATGGGGCCTCCTCCAAAGAGAGGAGCTAGCAGAGAAAGAGAGCAGTGGCTAATGTATTACCACCATACACATACATCATGTCGGGAATGAACTTTGAAGAGGCTCTTCCAGAAAAGTGTACATTGGCATTTATACACAAACGTAGAAATTTAAAAAAACAACCTACATACTATGTACGGAAGTGTTCTGAGACAAATGCCAAAAGTGTCAGTCGCTACTCTTCAGTAAATCAAAGTGGGTTATAATGTTAACGTACACACCTGGATGTCTTATAGAGGGGTGCATCATATAGGGACCATAGTGGTGTGGGGGGTAGGGTCCAGGAGGGAAGGGAGGCCCGTGCGGCGGATGGTGGTCTCCCCAGGCCCTCGGCCGACTGGGCGAGTGCTCCCTGCTCCCGTCCCTCCCCCCCTTCACCTCCTCCGGCTCCCTCTTCCCTATCGTCTCCTGCTCCTCCAGAGTTGGGAACTCTGACTGGAATCGGCCTCCCTCCTCTCTTCCTCTCACAACCTGCAGAGACGTCACACACCACTAAGGGAATATATACTCCTAAACAAGAATGTCTACCAACCACAACAAAGTGGATGAAATGAAAGCGTAACTACACAGAAATTGTACATCTATAAGTACAAGAAAATTACAAATGTAACAACAGAAGTGAAGGTACATAGGTATAATGCGACATGGTGTTTTGAATAGCAAGGGTTTTACCAACTACCCACACCATATCTCTCCTCACCTTCTGTGACAGCTGCTTTCCCCCCTCCTTCTTCCTCCGTCCATCTCCCCACCCCTCTCCTCCTCCTCCTCCACCTCCTCCTCCTCCTCCTCCGCGATTCTCTTCCTTGGTGTGTTTCCATCCAGTGCCCCCTAGCAACAGGAGTCAGAGACGTCAATGCACCAGTAAACACAATATTAGGGGGAAATGAAGGGGGTGCCAAGAGACGAGAGGGAGAGGCAACATACGAAGGAAAATGGAAATAGAAGAGAGAGAGAAGGAATGAGGGGGGTATAGACCTGATGGTACAAGAGAAATGTTTGGGTCGTTGCCAGCATTCTCGCTGCGCAGGCTGGGCAGAGCCACGGGGGTGGGCATCCGCCGACTCGACACCTTACCAAGACTCTGCAAGCCACCTCGGCCCCCTCCTGTGACGGCAGAGGACGTTTAGCCACACACTCTCCCCAGCAGTTTATTCCCCCACACTCACCATGGTGCTTGCCGCCGTCCGCTCGACTACCTCTGTAGTTGATGGTTAGCGCCGCGTAGCCCCCCCTTTTGGTGGAAGATGAGGCATCTTTGCGGCTTGCTGACATTCTGACGGTTCATTCATGAGCGCCACCTGGCGCGGCGAGAAACGGGGGAGGGGTGAAGGCATCTTGCGTCCCAACAAACACTTCTTACCTTTTCCTGAACAGAGTAGGTAGAAAGAGCCGTTCAGCGAGTGGTCTGGCTTGGTGTTAAGTCTGTGGCAGCCTCTACTATGGGGATCGGAGCGGATTTACCACACTATCAACGGCTGTCGGCCATTTACAACTGCTTTGACGAAATCACACGAAAAGACCGCCTCCGAGCACGTGACCACTGCTGGTGCGCTCTGATTGGAGAAAATGTCGGAGAGAGTTTTGCGAGTGAGCCAACTGGACGCGGCAGAACTGGACGAGGATCTGGTCTCAGTCCTGCAAGAACAGCTTCTAGCTGTCTTCAAGGTCCTCCCCACCGCCAGCCTCGCGTTCAAACCGGAGCTGAGGGCCGCCCTCAAAACATTTCTCTGGTGGACTTCTGTCAGAGTTACCGGACAGACGTTCGGACAGCGTATGTTGGACGTTCAGTACAGCACGAAGTCAGCCGTCGGTTCCAACCTTACGTCTCGTCACAAGTGGACGCTCCTCCTGCTGAGTGTGTGTCTAGACTGGCTGATAGCCAGAGCTCATGTCTTGAACACAATCTCCGGTCTGAACCTGGTTCCACGGAGGCTGGAGGGGCTCCTTGATTACCTCGCCGCAGCCGTCAGCACTCTCTCCCTCCTCAATTTCACCGTCTTCCTCCTGCGAGGCAGCTACCCCACTCTCTGCAACAGACTGGCAGGCGTACATGTTGCTCCCTCCAAACCACAGGTCCTGCGAGGGCTCGCTTTTGACCTCATGAATAGAGAAATCATGTGGCACGGATTTGCCGAGTTCCTATTCTTCATTCTGCCTCATGTGAACACATTTGCTCTGAGGAACTGGCTGAGGAGAGTGTGCCTCCCTCCCTCCCCACCTCCGCCAAACCCATCCCTGTGTGCAGTGTGTGAGGAGCTACCAACACTGACCCAGATTGCTAGCTGTGGACACGTGTACTGTTACTACTGCCTGCAGGCTAACTGTATGGCTGATCCAAACTTCACTTGCTCTCTCTGTGCTCAAAACATAGCCTCACAACAACAGTTCTTTTGTGGTCAAAAATTCCGAAAGTGCGCGTTAATTGGGAATAAGGGTGCGCTCTAATTAGAACCGGTAGTGTTCTCAGAAAGTGCGAATGTCTGCAGGGACGAGAGGGCGAGAGATAGCGGTGGTGAGTGGGAACGATGAAGACTGGCCAGGGAAGGCCGAACAGCTACTCCAACAGCAGCTGAAAAACGTCCAGGAAGAGTGCAGGTGACGAAGCCTTGAGAAGATGCTCACGTGACTCTTACTCTACAGGCAGCTTCGAGAGTCCTACAGACGTGAGGGTAGCACCAGTCGTCTCTCTAGGAGTAGTAGAGTAAGTTGCAGCCTCACTGGAACCCATCATCACGTCTCACCAGTGTATTTTCTGCAGACAAACTCCACTCACAGCCTTGTGCAGGGGTCCAAGACACAGACTCCTCCCTCCCTCACACCTCCACATCTCAATCCTCACACCTTCACCCCTCACACAGTCTCAGGCCACCTCACAACTCCACAGACCTCCAACCTTCCACTCGCCCTGGGTCTCGCCAGCTCTGCCAGTCTGTCGAGTCTGAGGTCCACACATTCAGAGCTGGCTCGGCCCACTATGACATCATCACGACATAATCAGCAACGTCTCAGTTATAATGTGCCTGGGAAGAGGGGAGAGAATTTAAGAACTAAGAAAGCAGGAGGGAAAAGAAATATTCCACAGACAGGCCACATCTCAACCCACAGAACGGAAGGGAAGAACTATTTGTCCACGCCTGCACGATCTCTGGACAACGGCTACAGCTCAGGGGGTGTGGCTGGTGGGCGGGACTTCAATTCAGGAGGTGTGACAACGAGACCAGGGAAGGCTTCTGGAGGAGATAGAGCTCTGTATACATTGTCTTCTCCTCTCTCTCTCCCCACTACTTCCACTGTGGGTGTCCCTGTCACACTCACCAGCCTCCAACTCTCTGGATCGGTGAGAACAAGAAGAGAGGAGGATGGAGGGAGAGGAGAGGAGAGGGGGAGGGGGAGGCAGCTGGAGCACGAGGTGGCAGTTCTGGAGCAGCAGTTGTCAGAGAAGACGCGGACAGCCAGGAGTCATGTTGAGGAACTGACGTGTATGAGGAGTGAGCTGGCTAGAGAGAGAGCATCTCTGGCTCGGGTGAGCTCACTTTAATACCTCATATGACAGACATCTTATTCCAAAGAACTGGCTTATTTGTGATCCTCGTAACAAAACACAGAAAGTGTGTCCGGTGATTCAAAACTGCTAGTTTCCTGCCATTAATTTGTGAAGTGTTGTGTTAAAAGACGCTGATTTACCCTCTGAAACGCTGTGTTGACAGGAGAAGCAGGAGGTGCTGGAGTCGGCCAGCGTCCAGCTGAAGAGAGAGAAGGCGAGTCACGAGGAGCGGTGTCGTGATCTGCTGGGCCAGCTGGAGAGGCTGCGAGGGGACAAGAGAGAGGGAGACAGAGAGATCGGCAGCCTCAGAGCCTCTCTCAAAGGTATGTGGTACGACTGACGTGTGTGGTGGTGCGGTGTTGGTAGTTGGTGATGGTGGATGCAGGGAGCCAAGGAGAGGTTGCCAGGCTGTCTGAGAGCCTGTCACGGCTGGGACTCCAGCTGGAGAGGGAGAGAGAAAGCCACACCTCCTCGTCCAGGTCCCTACATGCAGCTGCCGAGGGACACAGATCAAAGGTCATTGCCTCTCGTGCAGAATAATGTAGACGTGATGGACGTTCTGTAGGTGGCAGCGTTGGAGGAGGCTCTGGGGAGGTGCCGGGAAGAGATAGCTACTCACATCTCGCAGCTGGGTGAACTGGAGGCAGCTCACCGCTCTGAGGTCGACACTCTCAGAAACCAAGTGAGCTCCTCACAAAACTCTTCAGTCATACAGTTGGCTGTCAGAGAATGTTTATTGAGCAACTTTCGCATGAGAGAACTTCCATCTTTTTTGAAAAATTCTCCTGAAAGTTAAATGCGACGACCTGGCTTGTGAGTAGCAGTATTATATGGTATTATATAACTTTTCTTCTGATTTTATGTTGTTATGACGTCTTTCGTGTGATGGTAGGTGCGTGATCTGGAGGAGGGGGTGAGTGGACTGAAATTGCAGCTGGAACAGAGATCAGATGAAGTGGCGAGACTAGAGAGGGAGCTGACGTCTGCCACGACTCAGTCTCAGGGTCTGCTGCAGGAGAAGACAGACAGAGTGTGTCGACTTGAGGCCCAGCTGAGGGAACTGGAGAGGGGGAGTGAGGAGGAGAGGGGGAGAGAGAAGAGGAGGGACGAGGAATTAAGGAGGTCTCTGGAACAGAGTGAGGGGGTGCGACGCTCTCTCCTGGCCCAGGTGGAGAGGAATGGGGAGGAGCTGGAGAAGATGACAGAGAGGCTGGGGACACTGCAGCAGAGGGAGGCGGAGGCTGAGCGATGCCGGGCTGAGGCCAGCCAGCTACACCACTTGGTGAGACTGTTTGGCTCCTTCCCGTACTGTAATCTGAATAAGGAATGTCTCTGAATGTTAATGTGTCCCTTATCCACTAGTGATGGTATTACGTGCAGGTTGGGGAGTTGCAGCGAGACAAGAGAGAGAGGGAGGCAGAGGTGAAGGACTCCCGGGAAGAGCAGAGGAGGTTAAAGGTTGAGTTGGGGAAGACACGGGCTCAGCTGGACTCTGTCAAGTCTCAACTACAGCAAGCTAGACAGAGGTACGTACACACAGTCCAATGGTTTTTTAATGCCACCAGAGTTTGCAGGAGGCAGTACCTCAAGTTTTGCACACCCTCCAAATTTTTGTCTTCATTGGCCCATACTTTCATTTTCCCCCTACATTTTACGCTCTTTTGCCCCAAGTTTTCATCATTAATTCGTCTCGTGGTTTTCTATATATGCATCGCTTGCAACCAGCATTTATAATCATCAGTTTGTGGGAATATTGCAAGTGCCATTGTCTGTCCCTCTGACAGAGAGGCGGAGTATTCTCGAGCGACAGCTGAGCTGGTGAAGGAAGCGGGGCAGGTGAGGACAGAGTCAGGGCGGGTCAAGGCGGAGCTGGAGGTGTGTCGGAGGGAACTGCGGGAGACGAGGGAGGAGGGGAGGAAGAAGGCGGGGTCACAGATGAACAGTGTCAGCTCCCTCAACCAGGAACTGGCCTCTCGCACGCAACAGGTTACAATGGTGCTCTTACCAAATGAGAAATCTATGTCGTGTTGTGGTGTAAGGTGTTGGAGATGGAGGAGCTACTGAGGACCCAGCAAACAGAGGCCGCAGCCCGCAGGACTGAACTGGAGCACAGTCTGTCTGGGTGTCGGGGGGAGCTGCAGTCTCAGTCTCAGGAGGCCGACCAGCTGAGACAGCAACTGGGCCTGGCACAGAAGGTGAGAGACTGAGGCAACCTCAGGTGTGTTGTGTGTTGAGTGGTGGGTCATTTTCTAGAGAGCAGAGGATCTGCAGAGGCAGGTGGCACAGCACGAGGCAGTACGGAGGAATTCCTCAGCTGAAACAGAAAGACAGCTCTCCTCTAAGGTCTGTTGGTTAGCAGTAAAGAGTCCAGACTAAGTTTTGAGTCACGATTGTTGTTGGTTACTCAATGCATAGTAGTATGCCATAAGAAGAAAAATGCTGACCAGCAAATTGTTTCCAGGAGAACGAGCTGGCAGTGCTGCGTCGTCGACTCCACTCACTGCAGGAGTCTCACTCCACAGTATTGGCCAGTTCCGAGGCCCTCTCTGCCACCCACCGCAAGGCCGAGGCTCAGGTGGCAGGGCAGCTGCGAGTCAGACAGGAGGAGCTCTCCCGCACTCGGGCCCAGGTCCTCACTCCCTCCCTCCCTCTCTTCTTCCTTTACTCTTTCACACTAAAATTCACTTCACCACTGTACACGTGTATAGGTGTCCTCACTCTCCATTGAACTGACAGCAGAGAAAAACGTTTCAGATGACCTGAGGAGTCAGTTGACGCTGGCCAGAGCTGAGGCAGCACGGCACCAGGCACACATGCAGCGAGCTGCGTCCCTGGCCTCTCCTCCCCTCACCACCAGTCGCACAAGGCCTGCAGCTCCTCCTCTGCCTGCCGCGAGAGGCACTAATGCCACTGTCAGTGTGTCTTCCACAGGCAAGAAGCCAGCAGTGACTGCAGCGAGTCACAAGAAAGGACACGTCATAGACTTGTAGCTGCAGAGACTCTAGAGTTTTTTTACTGTACAACCACGTCTCCTACACATAGAATTGTCATAGCATCGTAGATGGTCAATGTTACTGCGCTTGCGAGGTATCTTCACAACGTGCTCGATGGCGTGCGTTAGCGAGGTCGGCGCGTCTGCAGAGACTGGCGCCGGTCAGGAAAGAGAGGGGGAACTGGGAGGACCGCAGTTCCATCCGCCGCTCTACAGACAGCGTTACGAGTTCGTACTCTCAGTCTGCAGGAGGCTGCAGGCCTCGAGGGTATGCAACCACGTGGAAATGGGAAGCAGGGAGGGGAAGGTGGCTTTGATAGTTGCTACAAAACACGTGTAATACTGGCTGCAATGCGGATAAACGTGGGTTTTTCTTTCCTGAAGGTGTTGGATATGGGGTGTGCAGAGTCCAAGCTGCTGAGGCTGCTGCGCAGGGTGCCATGTGTCAGAGAGCTGGTCGGAGTTGACGTACAGACGTCACTACTGGAGGCCAAGCAGCACGGCCTGCAGCCACTCATCTCTGACTTTGTCATGCGTCGACCTGATCCCCTCACAATCCACCTCATGCACGGTCTCTTATACCACACTCGCAGCGATCCATAGCTAGCTAGCAGCACTGTCAGCGATGAAATAAACACTGTTGTATATAAATGAGGTGCATTATGCTTTCCTCATGCCGTGTTTCATATTTGTTACAGGATCAATTGACGAGGCTGATGAGAGACTGACAGACTTTGACCTCATGGCGTGTGTTGAAGTGTGGGTCTCATTTTAGTGCTCTTTCTTTTGTGATTTTCTCTTACCAGCGAACATCAATATTTTAGGCCACTTGTAAAAATGGTATTAGTGATGACTAATTATCCATTATGCTTCAGTATAGAGCACCTGGATCCTCCAGTGTTGGCCAGAGTGCCGACTGCAGTGTTCAGAGACATGCAGCCAAAGACAGTGATTGTGTCTACTCCAAACTCTGAGTTCAACATCCTGTTCCCAGACTTCCATGGTTTCAGACACCCAGATCATCGCTTTGAGTGGACTCGCTCCCAGTTCAGACAATGGCAAGTCACCAGCACACACATCAATAAAGGCATAGTTGACAAAGTCCCAGATTCTCTTCTTGGAACTGCATTGTTTATGACGGATGGTGCATAAGTTTACTTGTCTTAGCAATCATAGCGACTGATGGTGCAGGTGTGGGTGTGTGAGCAGGGATTTCCCCAAGTACGCAGTCGAGTACAGTGGAGTGGGCGTGGCTCCTTCCTCCTGCACCAGTGACGTTGGTCCCTGTTCCCAGATTGCCATTTTCACCAGACGAGGTCACTATAATACCTAGTGTGTCCATGTATGACCAGTGTGTGTGTGTTCACAAGCAGGCGGTTTCTCTGGTATGGAGAGTGGGGGGCGTCCTTACAAAACAGTCAGTTTCGGTATTCTTTCACTGTTTGCTTGACGTGATAGCTGCATGTGTGTGTATGTGTTGAGGTGATGGAGTGTGTGTACCCACACCGTGAACCACTGCCTGTGGGGGAGAGACTGCAGCATGAGGTGGAGTACAGACTGCTGCAACTGCTGAGGTGGAGAGAGAGGGAGGGAGAAGAGGAAGGGGAGGTGAAGATCAGACTGGACTCTCTGTTAAAGTATCAACACATTAGGGAGCTTTGTTCAACTGTGGAAGAGATAAGGTAAGGGAGACATGGAGGCAATTAGTTCTAGTAAGGAGGTGACTGTTGCAGAGAGGCAGTGAAAAGCTCGGGAGTGGTGAAGAGGGTTGAGGAAGATGAGGTGGTCATGGACCTCAACCAGTGGTCGCCTGAGTCTAGCAGACAGGGAGAAGAGGAGGAGAAAGAGGAGGGAGAGAGACTAAATTGTGAATTTAGAGACCCTGAGAAATGGGATTAATCACTATTATTAACGTTCATCATTGTTGTTCATTTTGGGAATTGGTACAATTTACTATAATACTACTCCTCAAACGCATACAATACTGTCACAACACTCTCCTTTCTGCATAAGGATCCACACACACACACACACGTGATCTCGACTAGTGTATTAGCTATATACTCTGTCTAAAGAGTGGTTTAGTTGACAGTATGATCAGAGATGTCTGGAAACAGCTCAAACATCACGGATTGTGTCTCTTCAGAGTACGACAGGAAGCCATACCTCTGGGTCGCCGGCGTTAGGATTACAACTGGACTGCTTTCTCTCCTCCTCTCCCTTTTCCTTGTCGCCTTCTTTGTCTACACAAAGAACCAGAGGAGAGTGATCAATCAGATCCTAGTGTTCTGTCTCGCCATCTCCTCGTTCCTCAACTCTTTCAGTTATCTTCTGAGCAGAGTTAACTTTAGCAGTGAGAGACCTCTGGATGATCAGTACTGCCTGTTTGCAGGTCCTCTTGAACTGTACACCGACTGGACTCAGTACCTGGCCATTCTCTGCATTAGTTTCAACCTCCTGGCCCAGCTAACCTGCACCCTGCCAGCCGGGAAGAGACTGAAGTGGGTCTACTGTAGCCTCATCTTTGCTCTGCCTCTCCTGTGGTCCTGGACACCGTTCATCGAGGGAGCCTATGGCTCTGCAGGTCCGTGGTGTGGTATACGAACACTCACCGAGCTCTGCCAGCCTTTCCTGTACGGCCAGCTACTGAGAGTCCTCCTGAAGGGCCTTCCTGTTCTAGTCCTGCTCCTCACGACATCTCTCTTCTCTCTTGCCACCTGGACAGTCCTCAAACGCAGGCTCTCCCTCTCCCCACAGTCCACTGTTGACAAGACTGAGGTGCAGGCAGAGCTGAAACACCTCCTGTGGTTCCCACCACTCTTCCCTCTACTGCAGCTACCTCTCATTGTCAATATAGTGTATGACACTGCCAGGCCTAGCTCTCCCCAGCTGGTACTGTGGGTCCTCCAGGCTCTCCTATCTCCCCTGGCAGGAACAATCACTGCTTTACTCATTGGAGTCAACACTGAGACTAATGTTAGAGCCAGACTGCGCTCCTGGCTGGCCCGCCACCTCTGCTGGTGCAGGAAGGAGAGGGAGAAGGAGGTGGCGCAAAAGAAAGAGGTCAGCGAGTACGAGTGTGACCTCCACGTTAGCTACGGAGACAGCATGTCAGGAGTGATTGACAGACACCGGAGAGAGAGGGTCAGACAAAACTCCACCCCCTCCAAACAATCATCAGTCGTGGAATCTCAACAACAGACATGATAATAAATATACAGAACATAAACACTCGTTTAAAAAATAATTAATACCAGTTTGTTGTGCAATATTAAATTGTTTTCTCATAAGGGTGTGAGAGACTGTCGCCAATGTCTCCATGGAGAGCAGGGTACTCTTGGATAGTCACACTTTTCCTCCGGCAGCAGTGGAGACAAGTATCCCTCACTTGACTCAACTGCACCTTCCCTCCGGCCAGTGTGAACACCAGAGCGACAAAGGCTCCTCTGAGAGGGGAGGTGCAGGCGTGGAGAAAGGTCAGCTCTACCACTGGGTCTTCAGGGTGAGCCGCGTTGTTGTAGATACGATCAATGAGAGAGAAGGTGTTGAGAGCGAGGTAGATGAAGGGGAACCACAGCAGTGGTCTTATATCCGTCGTCATCCTATTTCTCTTGACTTTCGTCTCTTCGTCGTAGAGTCCAGACCAGCGGTGCACGTCCCCCCACATCTTTAGAGCCACAGCCACTGCCACAAAGAGTGTGGCAGTCAGGAGGAGGTAGAGAGGGATGTACCACAGCACAAATTGCAGGATTCGGCCCAATTCGTAACTGCTGCAGTCCTCTGTGAGCGTCCGTATCCCGCACCAGCTACCTGCAGTCCCGTACGAAATGGCGTACAAACGGTATCCAACACCAGAGGAGAGGGAGAGCGTACGTGCCGACCCAAAACACGGCCTCCGTCGTGTGCGTCGGGTACGCATGTCGACCGAGCAGCTCAGCCACGAAGAGGTAGTAGACGACGCACATGAGCGCCAGAACCTCCACCCAGGCAGAGTACTGGGTTGCGAAGCCGCCGAAATAGCAGTAGGGATCCAGGAGCTGAAGATCAGAGCTGTAGTCGACTCGGGCGACGGTGTAGGAGAGGGAATGGAGGAAGGCCGAGATTGCCAGGTTCAGCATGAGCCGCTGGGTGAAGTGTCGGTATCTCTTGTGCAGGATGATGACTCCAATGACGGCCAGACAGCAGAGGGCGGAGAATGCACCAACGCCGGCGCGGACTGCAGCCACGGCCAGGTAGGCAGCCGTGTTGTACGGCTCCAGGCAGTCGACAGCAGCTGAGCTATTGCTAGCGTTCCCTCCTGCGACCTGCGCCTGCGACATCCCTCCGCAAAAACTCCTGTTGCTGCTGCTGCGCGCGCTGGTGCCGCCAAAGCCCCTCCTACTTTCATTGGTTCGGAGTTCCTCAAAATGGCGGCGCGGAAGAAGGCTCGCCGAGGGGGTGACGAGGCTAAGGCCAAGTCATCGTCAGGAGAAGACGAACAGAAGAAACTAACAATCAACAAGTGGGACACTGCAGCCGTGAAGAATGCCTTGGACGATACTGCTAAGAAGGCAAGGGATGCTTGATTTACACGTGTTGGTCACGTGATACTCAACCCAGGTTTTGATGGTGAACGAGGAAGAATGTGTGGAAGAGTTCACAGTAGTGGATCGTCGACTGGTGCTGTGCACCGTGGCGTGCGGGTTCTCAGCGTTTGCTCTGGTGTACGACTACCTGTTTCCATTCCCTCGCAGCGAGGTGGTCCTCGCCATGTGCGCCATTAGATATCCCCCTCAACACACACCTAGTCACACCCTTTCAACAGTCCCAATAGAGTTTTCTTTGACTGTGTGTGTCCACCTATTTCATTCTGATGGGGGTGCTGTCCCTCTACTCCATCTTCTGTGAAGGCTCCATATTCATGTTGGCCAGGACCACTGACACCACAGGGAAGGTTAGTTTTGTATGAGTGTGATTCAACCACCTCCCTGTTTTTTGAATATAGAAACCAGATGAGCTGTGGACACTTAGCTCCAGCCTCCTTCGATTCAGTCATCATTACACCATAACTGTCACTTATTCCAACGGAGGGAGCAAGGCTAAGAACAGCTGCAAGATGGAAAAGTAAGCCAGCCTTACAGGAGTGTGCAGGAAGGAACCTACTCTATGGTAACTGTGCAGGTCTGTTACTGAATGGTTTGACGAGGATGGTGGTCTGGTGTTTGACAAGTTTAAAACTGACTTTAGTAACCTCTGCTGTGACGCAAAATCATTTGACAAGACACAGTGACCCATTCCTTGCTGTTACCACACTGTGCTCATGCTGTACATGCAATGAATCAATATTGGCAGTGAAACTAAAATTTCAATCAATAGTAGGGGGAGGGGCCTGAGTGCCATTGACCACGCCCCCAGAAGAAGGTGTGGTCTCCGGTCGGCTGGCGGAGTCAGTGAGAGGGTGGACCACATGTTCTCCTCCTCTGTCGAGTACCAACTGGTTTCCAACTATCTCAGCACCCAGGTCCATGTGGTCAGGGGACACACAGGGAAGAGGGGAGGGGGAAGGGATTGGTGGCAGGTATACTGTGTCCCTGTCGTGTTCTTTTTCGGGGGTAGACTCCTCATTAATTGCTGGGTGATTGTCTGGAGGAAGGTTCGACGAGCAGTGAAGAGTCACCAGACGAGCATTGTGGAAGTCGGCAGGCAATATGTGTAGGAATCTGTTTGTGATTTGGGGAGGGTGTGAGGGTGGGGAGGGGTAGGGTGCCAGTAGAGGGTTCAGGTGGTGTGTCTGAGGTGAGCGAGGCACTATCGGATTGCCCAGAGGGTAGCGTGTAGTGTGACTGTGTGAGGAAATAGGCTGAAGCCTCTGGGAAGGGTTGGGAGGAAGGATTAGGGTGGTGTGAGTCAACCGAGGCTGGCTGGTAGGAGCCAGTATCTGGGTTCTGTGGAGAACTGTCATGGGAGCCTGAGACAGTGCTCTGGAAAACGACGTCTTCTTGGACACTGAGGGAAGGGTAACTCTCCTCTTCCTTGTCTTCATCTTTGGATTCGGGTTGGGAGCTTCACTGACATGAGAGGTCAGGGAAACTGGAGGAGGAGAGGTGGAAGTGTTCAGGTCTCTGGAAGAGGTTGTTGCTGGTACATTGGGTGGTGTGTTTCTGTATAATTGTCCAGTGGAGAGGTCACAGATGAGGGAGCAGGGGACATGGCAAGAGTCAGGTCTGGCAGCTGTTGACTGGTGTGTGATGTGATCATGGGGAGACGGGGAGGGGGTTGAAGACCTCTCACTCTGCAGCTGGTGGAGGATCTCAGCTACGAGATAGTGAGGAACATTGTGCAGGATGTCCAGGCTGAGAGAGACCGGGAGAAATGAGCAAAGATCATAATCATTATTGAGGAATTACACTAGCTGGATTTTGTTCTCACAAGAGCTAAACCAATTTACCAAAGGACGAAGTAAAAAGTACGAAAGTGTTTATCGATTTGCGAATCCTCACCTGTCAGGTCTGCTGTCAGATCTACTGTGTGATCTGGAGTTGGACTTCACCTGAGAAATGCAGTTAATGACAAATTCTTGTATAGGATCTCTTACCTTGTCTGCAGAGCAAAAATCAGGCCTCTCCGCTGGCAAGGCATCGGTTAGATTTTTCACAGCAACATTCTCCTGAACTCTACTCTGGGCAGTGGCACGAGGTCTGTGTGCTGGTCTCCCAGGTCTCCATATCAGCACTGGGGACACGGAGAGGGAGGTGGATGAAGGAGAGAACTTTGCCGCTTCCAGAAGAACCTCAACATTGTGCAGGCGAGGGGGTTGTCGTAGAGAGCAGGCCGCAGTGCGTGCAGCGGGTGACGGTGTAGTGTTTGCTGGACTCTGTTTCGCGTTTCTTTTTCCGCCATCCTTATCTAGAACTACAGTCTGCACCTTCAACACTGGAAGACCTGGGAAGGCTAGTTTATTAACATGGCCGTTTCACGAGGAGCTCCACCAACCCTCGTTCTCTGTGTCGCTGTGCCGTTCAGGTTCCGACGGGACGCAACGCTGTCGAAGTAACTGGTCAACGTACTTTTCGTACTGGGGATGTTTGTGGCGAAAAGGCTTCTTGATATCGCTCTCCCAGCAGCCTGGGTGCTGGCAGAGAGGCCCGCATCGTCCGCTCGTTGTCTCCATTTTCTCTTGTTGCCATAACAATACCTGTGTATTATGCGCATGCGTAAAACACGTGTGAAGACAATAGGGTGCGCGTTAATTGGAATTCTAGCTTCGGTCGCTGAAGAGATGGCAGGCATTCTCAAAACCTTCCTGGGCTCCTCTGACCCGGAGAACCAGCCTTCTGGAGAAGAAATGATCGCCAAGCTCAAGACCAGGTAACAACCAAGATGCTCTGTCGATATTGCTTGCTTCACGGCTTCGTATGCTCACAGAGCGACGACTTCCACCCAGTTGGAGGACCGCAGGGACGCTCTGAGGGGCATTCGAGCCCTCTCCAAGAAGTACCCTCGCGAGGTGGGGAGCCTGTGTCTGGAGGTGCTGGTTGGAGCCGTCCAGAACGACCGGACCGACTCGGAGGTGGTGGGATACGCGCTCGAGTCGTTGTGGAACGTGATGGACAGTCAGCAGAGCCCCGAGCTGGAGCCTGACGTTGCCATCCAGGTATCCAAATCCTTCGTGAAGACGGCAGAGCACGTGACAATGATCCTCAACATCCTCGAGGACTTTGAGTTTCAAGTTCGTCGACCGGCGACCTGTCTCCTCACGACGCTGCTCAAGAACTGTCTGGCTCAGGTCCAGGAGGCAGTTCTCGTGAGTCCCATGGGCATCTCTCGTGTGATGGATCTGCTGTCAGATAGTCGGGAGGTGGTGAGGAACGATGCTCTGCTCCTCCTCCTCCAGCTCACCCGCAGCAACCGGCAGATCCAGAAAATTGTTGCTTTCGACAATGCCTTCGACCGTCTTCTTGGGGTGATCCAGGACGAGGGGTGGAGTGACGGGGGGATAGTTGTCGAAGACTGTCTCATGATAATCCACAACCTCCTTGGCGGAAACAACTCCAATCAGGCTTTCTTCCGCGAGGCCAGCCACATTCAGCTCGTCGTCCCGTTCTTCCAGCAGCTGGGGGCCGGGGGAGACAGCACCAGTTGGCACCAGCAGAGAGTCACAAATGTCCGCTACATGCTCCTCGTCCTGCGCACCCTCGTCTCCCCCTCCAACCCCCAACAGGCGACCGCCACCTGTCAGAAGTCGGTCCTCCAGTGTGGACTTCTCAAACTCCTCTGTGAGTTCATGTTTGCCAGTGGAGTCCCGACCGAGATCCTAGTCGACACTATTACCACTGTGGCTGAGGTAATCCGCGGCTGTGAGGGGAACCAGAAGTTCTTTGAGGAGGTGACTCCCCACACGGACCCACCTCGCTCCGCCATTCTCGCCCTCCTCATGTCAATGGTGACAGAGAAACAGCCACTTCCCCTTCGCCTGGCCGCACTCTACTGCTTCCAGAGCTATGTGTTTCGCCGCGAAGAGGGCCAGAACAAGATCATCAACACACTTCTTCCCTCCACCACGTCCTCCCCCTCCCAACCCCAGATCACCGCCGGACAGGTCCTATGTGCAGGTCTCTTTGGCAGCGATCCTTTCTCCAATTGGAGCACGGCGACCGCCATTGCTTGCTCCCTCAACACAAGTCTTAAACCCCAGCTGCTGCGGGTCCAGCTGTCGATGTCAGGCCGGGGACAGGTCACCCTGCTGCAGCAGATCACTGCTCTGCTCTCGGAGAAGGTGGACCTGAAGGTGCAGACCAAGATTGGGCTCCTGATCCTCCTCTGCTGCTGGCTGGGGGAGTGCAGTGTGGCTGTGACTCAGTTTCTCAACGACAGTGCCAACGTCATGTTCCTGACCGGTCAGCTAGAGCAACACCACACCTCAGAGCTGGAGCAGCTTGGTCGAGACATGTGCGCCGCTCTGCTCGGGATCTGTCTGGCCTACCACGACGGCTCGTCCACGTCGTACACCCCCGACACCCTCCGACAGATCATCGACCATCGCATCGGCCGCGACGCCTTCTCCCAGTCCCTGGCACACATCTCTAGCTCTGAGTTCTTCACGTCTGCCAGCAAATCTCCCCACCTATCAGCCGAGACGTTGGACCAGGTCTGTTTCGATCATCCGTTCACCGTCTTCTTCAGACAAGTGTCAGACACCATTCTCAGAGCTCTGGACAACAGCTCTGCCCCACAGCCTCCCGTACAGAATGGTCTGGACGCCAACTCCAGCACTTCCATTGAGGACCACGACTCTATTGTCTCTCAGTACAAGGAGCTCATCCGTAATCTTGACGAGGACCTCTCATCTCTGAGGGAAAAGTACGCGGCACTGGAGGCCACCAGTCAGCAGGACGGCGAGACCATTAGAGAGCAGGGGAGGGTGATTGTGGAACTGAAGGAACAGTTGGTAGTGGTCAGAGAGATGGAGAGGGAGGTTGAGGGTGGGAGTGAGAGCATACAGCTACAGCAACAGGTCACGACACTACAGCGAATGCAGGAGGCACAGCGGCAGGAATTGGCTGTGAAGTCAGTCACAGTGGAGCAGTTGGAGCGAGATTTGGAGGAGGCTCACAGGTCCCAGGTCCCGCGTGGCGACCCAGGGGAAGTGGAGAGGCTCAGGGAGGAGGTCCTGCAGTTGAAGGCGGAGAACGAAGCTTTGCTGACGGAGAAGAGCACTCTGGACGCACAGCTCACGCAGGTCCAGTCGTGTCAGCTCTCACAGAGTGATGGTGCAGAGGTGATAGAGCTTCAGAAACAGTTGGCTCAGCTGAAGACATCCTATCAGGAGGCAAAGACGGACAACAAGAGCCTGGAGAAGGAAACGAACGATCTGCTGATACTGTTGGCCGAGCACGACGCCCGCGACAAGAAGTACAGGAGGCTTCTCATGGAGAATAACATCCCCGTCCCTGAGGAAGATGAGTCAGAGGAGGAGGAGGAGGAGGAGGAAGAGGATAAGGAAGAAGGGGAAAACAGTGAATAGAATTAACGCACCCACCTCTGACGTTTTATGCGCTTGTGCAATAATGACTTTGCTATGTTTCATTTTTCATAAATAGTTGCTTTGATCAATGTGGTCCAAACATATCCAACTGGCTCTGTTAGTTTGACAACAGAGACTCGACTACTGATACGTGCAGCATAATGTAGTTAACCTTTTGGCCAATTAGATTGTACCCCGACAGAGGCCGTGGTCTGCAAGTCTGCAACCAGCTCTACGATCCAATTAAACCACAAGTATGAACCATCATCTTCTGTTGTTTGTTTTCCCTCTATATAGTAATATTGACGGGACAGAAGTCTGGTGGAATGCCTTATTTTCTCTAGGTGTTCGGTGTCATCACACATTGAGAATATGTCTCCTTCAATTCGGAAGCTAATCAAAGTCATAGGGAATGCTGTTATAGCTAAGCAAGACTTCAGGACCCGCCAGCCATGTGCAGTCTTATGCACGGCCTTAACAAAACATGACAGCCAATGGGAGATTGTCATGAACTTTCAAGTCAGCACGGTGCTGCAAAACCACCTATCCATTTACTATCATGTTTCAAAACTCAGAAGAGGTTTTCTGTTGCTGCTGCATCAAGTGGATTGTTGAACATTAATTACACTCAATGATGATGTCTTACAGTCGGTGACATTGCACAGAGCTGTGAACGTCTTGGGTTAGCTCAAACTATGATATCACCAGCCCCACATTGTGTCAATGTTACATGATACTTTGGCCTAGGAATAATTTTGGAGGTGAGGACACAATGGTGCTGGCAAACAGTAGAAAAAAGTTTATCTCAAGCATTCCGAAGGCATTCTGCAGTGGTCATTCGAGGAGCTTTATCTCTCCTTTCAGGGTAAGCACAAAGAACGGGTTCTGTGTCTGTGTGTGCATGCATCACCCACTAGGTGAAGAGGAGTAGGTTTTCTAGGCATTTCAGTCAGGTCATTAGGCATTCAGAGCCACTTTAAAGCCCCCTAGTTTGGTACCGGGTGTCAATATTGCTGCCCCTCATCGGCACCTCAGTTGGACGGCTTGTTATGCTAACCAAAGAGCTCGTGTTTCAAATGTTTTCATCTTGCACTTGAATGCCTCTCCAGCAGCTAATTTCCTGGGCCAGGCCTCGTGAAAGAGTGACAGCTGGTGCTCCCTCGTCGATGGAAATGGGGAAGCTTATCGTTAATCTCTGCGATGCATTAGTAGTGGCTCGGAGGAGGTCTGCTGACGACACGAATTTTGAGATCTTATAGCTAACAGAATTAGTAGTGAATGATGTATGTTAGCACCCTCTGTGTGAGTGTCATGCGAGCTGACAGTGATTATAATATACCGTGCAAGCTTTGTAACAGGGAATTAGTGGGGGGATCTTGTAAGGTTAATATTTGTGTGCACACACGGAACAGAGTAATTGCACCCCAAAGGTCTTCACCTTGCTTTGACCGCCCACACGCGGAGGCCGGGCTCGTCTACTGGCGCCAAAGGGTGCAAGACAATGCAGTGTAAACAAACTGCAGTATAAAAGCGAAGAAGTTTTCGGTCGAGGCATAACAGGCTACCACTGAAGAGAAATTCTCAAGCAACCTTCGGAATCAACGGAGAAATGGCTACAATCATCTTCCAACTGCTCGCAGCACTGATGGTCCCCTGCATCCTCCGGGCAGAGCCTGCAGCAATGGCAGTCGAGACGGGGAGTGACGATGCAGAGTCCTATCTCGACGACCCTGAGCCTCCCATGAGCGAACAACTAATCAATACAAGTAAGTCAATGCCTGTAGCATGCGGACGAAACTCTTGATTTGTCCATCTTTTTCACTCAGTGACGGAAGCTCCCGACCTTTACGAAGGAGACATTATTCTGGACCCGGATCTGCGAGAAACCATAGAGGGGCTGGGGATGCTGGAGAGCGAGCGGGCTCGCAGAGCCATCACACTCAGCGAGAGCAGAAGGTGGCCCGATGGAAAAGTCCCCTACGTTATCTCCAGCAGCCTGGGTGAGTTCTTCTGTCGCTTATTGTTCTTTTGAGCCAGCCACCTACACCTGTATTGTCTACAGTTACTGCTTGCTTATTATTATCACTGTCTCTTTATTTCTCCTCCTGCAGGCAGCAAAGCAAGGAGCGCAATAGAAGCTGCCGTGAGGGATTATGCAGCTCAAACATGCATCCAACTCTACCCAAGAGGCTCAGAGCGTGACTATATCCATTTCTACAAAGACAGGGGGTAAGCTGTGCATGCATAATAATGCAACCTTGCAACAGTATATTGATTGATGATTTCTGTCTCACCACAGGTGTTTTTCTAGTGTCGGGAGAGTTGGAGGAGGTCAGAGGATCTCCATTGGGGTTGGCTGTGAGTACAAGGGAATTGTCATGCACGAGATATTCCACGCTCTCGGACGTTGGCATGAGCAAAGTCGGCCTGACAGGGACGCTTACGTCACCATCAAATACGACAACATAAAAAACGGTAAGAGCACATACGTACCATGAGAGTGGTGGTCGTTATTGTTTGGTTGATATTATTTCAGGAGTTGAGACCAACTTTATGAGGCTGGGGTCGGAGCTGGTGAAGACTCAGGGAGTGCAGTACGACTACCGTTCCATCATGCATTACTCTGGCTATGCATTCTCACGCAATGGACGACCAACAATTGAACCCAAAGACAGGAGTGTGAAGAGCAGTAGTCTCGGTCAGAGGGTTGGTTTCTCCAGCAGAGACATTCAGCACGTACTGGCTCTCTACTGCACAGGTATGGAAATTACGAAACTGGCTGAATATTGTAAATTAACAAACTCTTATATATTTGTTACAGCTGAGGAGGCTAGCTGGGGTACCTGGGGTTCCTGGACCTCCTGCAGTAGAACATGTAACGGAGGAATTCGGAGTCGCCAGAGGTCGTGTGAAGGAGGCACAACTTGCATTGGCAGCAACATCGAGGAGCAGACGTGCAACAGCCAGGCCTGCCAGGTGGCGGCCCAGTGGTCTGCGTGGAGTAGCTGGAGTGGCTGCTCAGCCTCCTGTGGGGGAGGCAGGCAGGCCAGGAATCGAAGGTGCCTCAATGGCAACACGTGTGCAGGAAACACTGTCGAATACCGGAGCTGCAACACCCAGGCCTGCCAGGTGGCTCAGGGGACCTGGTCCCTCTGGTCTTCCTGGAGCTCCTGTTCTGCCTCGTGTGGTGGAGCCACGCAGACTAGGGCCAGGCAGTGCCTCAGCGAGCCTTGCGAAGGCCCCACCTCACAACACAGGACCTGCAACACTCAACAATGTACGCCTTATCATTATGAATTCTTGTCCTCTTTCAACTAATATTTCTTACAACAGGTCCCAGAGAGTCAGTGGGTCTAAGACATGAAGGATGTTACAGAGTGCTGTCAGGCAACGGGCTGTTTCTCCTGGAAGGTAGAACCAGCGAACTCAAGGACAACCCATTCCGGAGAACTGAGCCGGTACCGAAGTGTGCCAGAGCTGCAACACAGAACTCCTTCTCCATCATTGGTGTGTCTGCTGGATACTGCATTTCTGGCAACGAAAGGCTCTCAGACTTCACGGAAGTTGCCTCAAACTTGTGTAAAGACGGGAGAGGTGCCTATGGAAGAGGGCTGTTCCACATGGACGTCTATACAATCACAGACAGATCAGTCTTCAGAGATGATTCCCAGCCACAGAGTGACGAGGCTAATGGACAGGAGTCCACCCCTACCAGTGGCACCAGTGACTTCAGGACCTCCACTTTGACATTCTTCATCATAACCACCCTTATCATGATCTTCATTTAAACTTCATATCGTTCATGCGCATTGTTGTAAATCACAGCAGGTTTAATATTATTATTATCTTCTTTCACATAACTGCAATGCAAAGAGTAAAGACAGTATCAGCGAAG